ATCAGAAGCTATTAGAATAAACAAATTCATTAAAGTTTCAGGACACAAAATCAACATACAGAAAGGAGTAATATTTCTATACACTAACAATGAATTGTTAAAAAAAAAAAAGAACAAAAAAAGGAAAACAATCCCATCCCATTTATAATAGTGTCATAAAAACCACAATGAATAAATTTAACCAAGGGGCTGAAAGATCTGTACATACACTGAAAACATTTTAACAATAAAATGTCCGTACTACCCAAAGCCACCTAAAGACTCAATGCAATCCCTGTCAAAATTCCAGTGAAGTTTTTACAGAAACAGAAAAACAATCCTAACATTTGTAATAAATTACAAAACACTCCAAATAGCCAAAGCAAATGTGAGAAAGAACAAAGCCGGAAGCATCACACTTCCTGACTTCAAACTATATTATAAAGCTATGGTAATCAAAACAGTATGGTATTGGCATAAAAACAAAACAAAAACCTAGATCGATGGAACAGAATTAAGAACCTAGAAATAAATCCTTGTCAATTAATATCTGACAAGAGAAACAAGAAAACTCAATGGGGATAAATGGTGCTGGGAAAATTGTATATTCACATGCAGAAGAATGAAAATGGGCCTCTCTCTATCTTACACCACTCACAAAACTTAACTGAAATGGATTAAGAACTTAATTATAAGATCTGAAACTATGAACTACTAGAAGAAAACATGAAAAAGCTCCTTTACTTAGCAATGATTTTTGTTACACAAACAATAAATGCAAAAATTTTAAAAAATGCGACTGTCACCAAACTAAAAAGCTTATTCCTCACTTCAAAAACAAACAAACAAAAAAGAAACAATCAACAAAATGAAAAGCCAACCTAAGGAATAGGAGAAACTATTTGGGGATCATCTATCTGATAAGGGTTTGAGATCCAAAATATAAGAAACTCATGCAAATCAAAGGCAAAACAATCAAAACAACAAGAAAAAAAAATCTGATTTAAAAATGGACATGGGGCGCCTGGGTGGCGCAGTCGGTTAAGCGTCTGACTTCAGCTAGGTCACGATCTCGCAGTCCGTGAGTTCGAGCCCCGCGTCAGGCTCTGGGCTGATAGCTCAGAGCCTGGAGCCTGTTTCCGATTCTGTGTCTCCCTCTCTCTCTGCCCCTCCCCCGTTCATGCTCTGTCTCTCTCTGTCCCAAAAATAAAAAAAATTAAAAAATTAAAAAAAATTAAAAATAAATAAATAAAAATGGACAAAAGACCCAAACGTTTTTCCAAAGAGGAGATACAAATGACAAACAAGTACATTGAAAGTCGCTGCAAGTATCTAATCATCTGGAATATCAAAACCACAATGAGGTATCACTTCAGCCTTGTTAGGATGGCTGTTATTAAAAAGATAAACGATAACAAGTGTTGGTGAGGGTGTGGGGAAATGGGAACCCCTATGCACTGATGGTTCAAATGTAAATTAGTGCAGCTGCTATGGAAACAAGTATGGAGGTTCCCCAATATATTGCAAATAGAACTGGCACGTGATCCAGAAAAGATCCAGCAATTCCACTTAGTGGGTATATATCCAAAGGAAACAAAATCACTATCTGAAAGAGAGATCTACTCGCCTGGGTTCACTGTAGCATTGTTTACAACAGTCAAGACACGGAAACAACCGAAGTGCCCATCAATGGATGAATGGATAAGAAGTTGTGGTGGACATATATAATGGAATACTATTTAGCCATGAAAAAGAAGGAAATCATGCTATTTGCAACATGGATGGACCTTGAGGGCATTATTCTAAGCGAAATAAGTTAGAGAAAGACAAATACGGATGATCTCACTTATATATGCAATCTTAAGAAAACTGAAGTCATAAAATGTTTCTAATTTTGATGAAGTCTAATTTATCATTTTTCCTTTTTTAAATCATTTTTTTAAATAAAACAGAGAAAAGATTGATAGTTGCCAGAGGCAGGGGTTGGGTGGGGGGAAATGAATGAAGGTGGTCAATATATACAAACTTCAAGTTATAAGGTTAATAAATTCTGTGGATATAATGTACAGAATGGTGACTATAGTTAACAATACTGTAATGTATATTTGAAAGTTGCTAAGACAGTCAGTGGTAAAAGTTCTCATCACAAGAAAATAAAAATTTGTAACCGTGTGGCAAGATGCATGTTAACTAACTGTGGTATTTACTCAGCAATACATACATACATCAAACCATTATGTTGTACACCTTAAACTAATACAATGTTACACGTCTCTTACACCTCAATAAAATGGTGGGGTGGGGGGTTAAAATTAGTTCTCTCAAAAAACTGCATACTGTTTACTATCCACCTCGCACAATTGACCTGAGAGTACCTGCTAGTACTCTCAAAACTCAGCTTACCTTCTCTGATACTGCAGTCAAAAAATTATCCTAAAACCTATATGGAAAGGCAAAGGAGCTGAAATTAACACAATTTTGAAAAAGAGTAAAATGGGAACATAGAGACTACCCAATTTGAAGACTTATTCTATAGCTAGAGTTACCAAAACTGTGGTATTACCAGGACAGACACATAGATTAATGGAACAAAATAGAGAATCTAAAAATGGAGAATCATTTGCCAAACTGATTTTTTGACAGTGGTACAAAAGCAACTCATTAGGGAAAAGAGTGCCAAGAAACGGTGATAGACATCAATAGGGAAAAAAACAACCCTCAGTATAAGTCTCACGTCTTATATAAAAGTTAATGCAAAATGTATCACGGACTTAAATGTAAAATGTAAAAGTTTTAGAAAAAATATGGGAGAAAATCTTCAGGATGGAAGGCCTGGGAAACAGTTCTTAGACATGACACTACAAGCATAATGCATAAAAGGAAAAACTGATAAACTGAACTTCATCAACATTAATAACTTCTAGGGGGCACCTGGCTGGCTCATTCAGAACAACATGTGACTCTTAATCTCCAGGGTCATGAGTTCGAGCCCCACATTCGGGGTAGAGATTACTTAGGAAAAATTAAGAACACTTGCTCTTCAATATACCTTGAAAAGACAAGCTACAGACTCGAAGAAATAGTTGCAAACCACGTATCTGTCAAGGTTTAATACCTAGGCTATACACATAAAGAACTCTCAAAACACAGCAGTAAGATAAATAAACAGTCCAAGTAGAAAATGGACATGATCAAGGTGCCGGCAGACTCAGTCTGGTGAGGGCTGCTTTCTGGTTCACAGACCAATATCATTTTGCCGGACCCTCACAGGGCTAAGAGAGACAAGGAAGCTCTCTGAGGTTTGTTTTTTGTAAGGGCACTAATCTCACTGATAAGGGCTCTACCCTCATGATTTAGTCATCTCCCTAAGGCCCCACCTCCAAGTACCATCACATTAGAGATTATTAGGTTTCAACATATAAATAGCGGGAGGAGAAGAACAAGTATTCCGTCTACAGCAACTATCTAACATTTATATATTTTACTTCTTTGTGCTATTATGTCTTTTTAATTAGAGCATAAGCTCTGTAAAGACAAGATTCATCTTTATTTTGTTCACTGCTATTACCTGAGTCTAGAAAAATGCCTGGCACATAGCAGGTGCTGAATAATTATTTACTGAATAAAATACCTACTAATCTAAAATAACAATAAGCTCAATGCAAATACCAGGGATGTTATTTTCCATACGGCACTAAAACTATTGCTGCTTTCTATTAAGACAATTTAGTTTTATGGAAACTAATTTGACAATAAATTTCATATAATAAAAAATTTAAAAAACAAAACAAAACATGTTTTTCACCAAAAAAAAAAAAAAAAAAAAAAAAAAAAAAAAAAAGACAATTTAGTTTTATGCATTAACGCAAATTTACTTGTCATGAAAGCAAAATACACTTTGTAAAGTGTACTTACATAAAGGTTTTTCCCTCAGGTCTTATAACTTAAATTACAATTACCTTATTTAAAGCGTGTCCAACATGTGGGTCACCATTTGCATAAGGAGGTCCATCATGAAGACAAAATTCTGTCTTTACTTTTCTTTCTCTTTGCCATGAATAAAGTTCTGAAAATCCACATTTCTGTTTAAAAAGAACCATAATATCTGAACATCACCCAAATACATACTCCTGCATCTTACCATAAGTAACAGCCAGCATTTGCTTATTTCTTATCCCATGCCAATGTATTCAACTCTAAAACCCGATGGTGAAGTTTCTAAAATGCACATCTGAGTCCTCATCTTTTAAAACTTTTTAATAGTTTCCCTACAGGCTTCACATTGAGGTCTGAGCTCTTTATACTGTAAACAGGGCCCTGTTTAGGAGCACCAAATTCTGGCCAGTGTCTCGGCACTCTCCACCCTTCACTCCTCAGTCCAGCCATGCTGAAGGGCCTGTACACTACCCACCCCCCCACACCCACACACTCTTATCCTTGCTCTCCTTTGGCCTCAATACCTGCTACTGTCAAAATCCCAACAACACTCACTACAGCCCTACCCCCCTTCTCTCACCTACTGTGCACCCTTGGCCCAGTCATTTTGCCCTTACGGGCATCCGTGTTCCCTCTTTTGAAAAAATGTTAACAGTAACCAGTTCACAGAGCTGGTGTGAAAATTACACGAGAAAACATCTGAAATTGTCACAGTTCCTGGCATAACAACAGTATTGAATAAGACACTTTAAAAAAAGTAGGTGGCAGGGCAGCTGGGTGGCTCAGTCGGTTAAGCATCAGACCCCTGGGGGTCTCGGCTCAGGTCGTGATCTCATGGTTTGTGAGATCAAGCCCCACATGGGGCTCTGTGCTGACAGTGCTGAGCCTGCTTGGGATTCTCTCTCTCTCTCAAAATAAATAAATAAACTTTAAAAAAAAAGTAGATGGCCAAAACAGGTTTATGAGTCTAGAAGTCTGATAACTGCCATAAAAATATCTGGCTAAGCAAATTTACTTGACCAATATATGCTAAATATGGAGAATTTTTAAAACTCTGGAAGTACAGAAACTGAGAAGTGAATTTTCTCTTAGAAAACTCAGTCTAACACAGGAGAAAGGTGCATAGCTTAGGAAGGGACTCTGAGGAAGTAAGTACAGCTACTCTCTTCTGCAAACAAGTCAGAATTCCAACTAGGCGCCTAACGACAACACAAAAGTAAGCTTCAACTTTCCCACATAATCGAAAACTTTATTTACAAGTGTCCATGTTAATTTACTTTTCACAAACCACTGGAAAAGTGTCCAAATTCGACTTGTTTTTGCCTAAAAAATGGCACTTATATTCAGCGCTGCTATGCGAGCATCCCTCTTTAATATTCTGCTCTGGAACCTGCTACAACTGAGGGATTCACCTAGAGGTTTTCCAGCAAGAAACCCTGTTGGGAGCCCCACTCGTCCGGTCACAACGTCGCCGCCCAAAGGAGTCTAGAACCCGCGGCCCTACCTGCCGGGGTGTGTGGGTCCCCCGGAGCGGCTGCCGGCGAGGGCCCAGCTCCCCTCCGCCCCCAGGCCGGCCCGGGCCTCCCTGCCCACCTGCTGGATCTCCAGCTCCGTGTCGGGCTGCTGGCGGCCCAGCAGCTTCATGGGGAAGCTGGTCTGCGGCAGCAGCACTGTGTCCCGATATCTGCCATTACTCGAGTTCTGCAGCTGGTTACTGGCCCCGGTGACTGGCCGCACCAAAAGCCTCCTCGTCGTCCCTCGCCATCCCGGGTGACAACGAAGATGGGGCGGCACCCACAGATTTCGGGCCGTGGCCAGAGCCGCCGCCCCCGGCCCGCGCGGGTGCAGCCCCCAACGCATGGCGGGCTAACCCCGACCTCCCCGTGAGCGCCAGGTCCTCCGCGGGAGGATCCCGCCCGGGGTCTGGAAAACACGGACCCCAGGGAACCTCCACGAGCTCTACCGGAGTGCGCACGCGCGCGGGGCACGGAAGAGGCCGGGAGCAGGTCCCTCCCGGAGGCGGAGAGAATCAAGCCATCTCGGGTCTTGGCGGCAACCCCGGCGGGGGGCGTGGCTAACTCTGAGGGGCGGGGCAAGGTGTGGCGTGCCTGAAGGGGCTCAGATTTCAATCACACTGCCCTGTTTAGATATTTTTTATTTAACGCAGTATATCCAAGATATTATCACTTCAACATGTAATTAATATAAAATTATCCAGAAGATATTACATTCTTTATCTTCATACTGAATCTTCAAAATTGGGTATGTATTTTACACATATAGCATATCTCAGCTTGGGCTAGTGATTTGCCAAGCGCTCAACAACCATAGGGAGTGAGTGCAAAGTTCGGGACCAATATTATAAACCAACCTAATTATGTTACTTTCAGGTCCTCTATTATCCCTGTTATGTCCCACTCCCACTCCTACAGAATAGTACTGTGTAGGACTTCAGCTCTGGTTTCGGACAGAAACCCACTTTTTTCTTAATGTTTATTTTTTTAGAGAGAAAGAGAGATAGCGAGCAGGGGAGGAGCAGAGAGAGAATGGGACAGAGGATCCAGAGCAGGCTCTGCACTGACAGCAGAGAGCCGATACTGGGCTAGAACCCACGAACCATCAGATCATGACCTGAGCCCAAGTTGGACGCTCCACTGACTGAGCCACCCAGGTGCCCCAGAAACCCACTATTCTACCGCGTTTTTGTAAAGTTTGTGTTAGGTCACTTCACTTTTGCGCGCGCACGCGCGCGCGCACACACGCGCACACACACACACACACACACACACACACACACACACAAAGGGGGGGGGTAATAGCATGCATCTGCTACATTAGTACCTGTTTTCACTAACCGAAAGAAAACTGAAAAGGATTTTTGCTCTTAGGAAAACAAGTGAAAATAGCATCAAGTATTTGTTTTGCAGCAAGCATACACCCAAGCAACCAGAGTGGCCCCCGACCAAGCTCCTGCCCTGGGAACTACACACAGCGGCTAACCCTTTGAACTGTGTGTATGAGCATCTGTGCTCTATCTCCCTTTATTCTGTGCATCTGTTAGCAACATGTGTCCTAAGGTATCAGAAAAGCTTAAGAAAGGTTATTTTTGGGTGACTTGGAATGCTAAAGAAATTTTTCCATATAAATTAAAGGTAATTGTTTCTTTGCTTTACTCCATTTAGGCTTATGAAAGGTTTCATAGGAACACTCTACTTTCAGAGGGAAACCTGTATTCGGTTGTCCAGGTCATAGTAGTTCACAATTGTTACGTTTTCATTGTAAAGTATATCTCTTCCTATTCATAAGACACAACATCTAGAAGATTTGGCTTAAATAAATAGACTGATTTTCTACAAAAAGAAAAAGAAAATTTTATATGGAAAAACATGCCACAAAGTAAGAAGGCAAGGGGCAAATAGTAAGCATTCCGTGTCAGCTTTTCACCTTTTGTCGTGCTTTTTGAAAGTTTGTGTTAGGCCACTTCAATTTCACACACACACACAGTGAAAACAGCATTCTTTACCTACATTAGTACTTGTTTTCACTAACCTAAACGGGTTAGCTCCTTACCTCTATTAACTCATTTAATCATTAAACCCTATAAAGTGAAGAGATAACATGCCAAAACAACCCTATGAGGTGAGGTAGGTATTATGGTTATTGCCATTTTACAGTTAAGGAAACTGAGGCACATAGTGTTAAGTAACTTGCCTAAGACCATAGAACTAAGAAGTGAGAGATGGGATTTAAATTCGGGCAATTGGGTTCTAGTGGCCATGTGGATAATCATTATACTATATTGCCTCCCCTACACTGTACTGTGGGACAAAACATTTGCAAACACATTTTAAAAATTAATATCCATAATGTATAAGGACCTGCTACAAATCAAGAAAATAAATATCAACAGCCAAATAGAAAAAAAGGTCATAGGATAAGAATAGGCATTCACAGAGAAATGGAAACAGCCAATAAACAAACACACTCAAAGATACTCAACTTTAAGAATCATCAAGGACAGGCAGATAAAACAAGATACCATATCCATCCAACAAATTAAAGCAAATATTAAGGCGTTTGATAATAAGGCGTGGGAGGGCATATGAAAGTGGCCTCTCTCACATTGCTGGTGGTAATGTAAAATTTGTACTGCCTTTTTGATGTTTCTTTTTTCTACTTTTGAGAGAGAGCACAAGCAGGGGAGGGGCAGAGAGAGCGGGGGACAGAGGATCCAAAGCAGGCTCTGTGCTTCCAGCAGTGAGCCTGATGTGGGGCTCAGACTCACAAACAATGAGATCATGACCTGAGCGGAAGTTGGATGCTCAACCAAATGAGCCACCCGAGTGCCCCTGTACTTTCTTTTTGAATGGCAATTGGCAATATCTGTCACCATTTCACTTTTGACCTGCAATTCTGCATCGGGGAAACTATCCTGTGAGCTTCAGTCTCATGGGAGCACAATGATGAATGTACGGGGAAGCTCTTCTAACCAACCTCTACATAACCCATTGCTGAATTCAACAGTGTTCTCGGTCTCCCCATAAAACCTGAGGGTACACTGAGCCCTCAGAGCAGAAGGCTACTCTCTGACACCTGCAGACTTCGCTTCTCACCTGTTGAGTTTACAGTCATGTTTATCCTTAAACTTATTCAAGCCAGTTGTACTCGTTTTGTATTACATAATTATAAAGACCAGCATGTTTAAAATGGTAAATTTTGTTATATACCTATTTTACTACAATAAATGATCTGACTTAAGTCTCAAAGTTATTGCGAAAATCAAATGAGACTGTATAGGTAAAAGATTTCTCGGGGCACCTGGGTGGCTCAGTCGGTTAAGCATCCGACTTCAGCTCAGGTCATGATCTCACTGTCCGTGAGTTCAAGACCTGTGTTGGGCTCTGTGCTGACGACTCGGAGCCTGGAGCCTGTTTCAGATTCTGTGTCTCCCTCTCTCTCTCTGCCCCTTCCCCACTCATGCTCTGTCTGTCAAAAATAAATAAGCATTTAAAAAAA